ACTCAGTGCTCCGACTGCCACGGCAGCTGAAGGCAATAAACACAGCAGCAACATCAGCAGCAGCAGCAACAACAAGGAGTTGCTTCTTTTTGCGGCAGAGTTTTTGTTTGTTCTTGTTGGCTGGGCTTTTATTTTTTTCGCCTTTTGTTTATTTCCACAGTCACAAGAAAGTTGCACTGCAAAGTTGGAGAGAAGATATCGCCAGCGAATGATAAAGAGGAGTTATGGTTGGGTTGGTGTTTTCAGAAAGGTGTATATCTATAGGGCTCTCTGTCTTTTAGTCGCTATATGTATATATACCTGGAAACGCCATTTTGCGCAAAGTTTCTGCTGCTGGCAGGTTAATGTTGCTGTTGCTGTTGCCGTTGCTGCTGCGTCGCTGCTTCTGCCCACTGTCGCTATCAGCGCACATCAATGGACCAACGACAGTGTGGCGACACAATTTGGCGCACATTACGTATACGCAACGTGGGCCAAAGCGAAAAAGCAACAGCAGCAGCAGCAACAGATGAGCGAGCGGGATGGCCATATTCTATGAGATAGAGAGCGCCAAATGAGCAGCGACAGAGAGATATGATAATAGCAGCAGTAGCAGCAGCGACAGCAGCAGCAGAGACCACGCCCCCAGTTGTCTTTTCTTTTGAGATATCTATATATATGTACAAATATTCCTGCCACAGTCAAGGACCTCTTGGAGAGCCTTTGTCCTTGGCTGGTAACCTCTTAACACACTTCATTAATCAAATGCCAGCAGCAATGCCAAAGAGCAACAAGCAACCTGATGAATTCGCCGCGGATCTCTGTCTCTCTTTCTCGCTCTCTCGAACAAAGCTCCACCCCAAGCGAATTAGAGCGCAGACGCAGCATAAAGAGAGGGGGCGACAGAGAGAGAGTAGCTGCGTCGCCAAAGTTTTTGCCGATGACAAACGAATGACAGTCGCTCTCTGCTCTACCCAAACCACCTGCCCCATCACCATCCCCCCAATAGAAGAGAGAGATAATACAAAGAGATAAGGGAGACGATAGCGAAATGGCGACAACAACGGCAACAACTCCATTGAATGCCCGCCAGTCAGAAGGCTGCGTTTGCTTGTATTTGTGCGCCTGTGTGCGGGGGCTATGTGTGTGTGTGGGTGCCTGCTGCACAATTACCTCATACTGAAAATTGCATCTCCCACTATATACAAAATAAATGCTCCTCTCAATACATGTGTATGTGTATAAGCACCAGTTGTGTGTTCGTAATTTCCTGATAATTAAAAGTGCTCTGAAATTATTTCATTTCGCTTCGGCCACTCTGCACTTTCTTTACCCCTTTCCCCTGTCTGAAGAGAAATTAATGAGAATCTCGTGAATGCGATAATGAAAAGGCTTTCCCTGATACTTTTCCCTTTTGGCTCTTACGGCGGCAATAATTTTGGATTTAGTTTTTAATTAAGAAGAGTGAGGTTCTGCAATTGGGTCAGTTTAGGGATATTAAAAACAAGTGGAAGCAAATAAAAATGGTTTAAGCAACTTCTAACAAAGAAAAAAATGGTTTTGAGGTTAACACAATTATTAAATATTATATATAAGGTTAAAAGTTGGAAACTAGAAGCCTAAATAAATTTATACATTGTACATCTATTTTTATAACTGAGCTGTGTTGGAATGTACCTAGATACTTACATAAAGGTACGAACAAAGATATTTAGTAGCCATCTTATATAGGTACTAAAATAACTTTATGCCCCTTGAAGATAAACCAAACTAGATACTTTAATATTATTAAATATTCATGAATATTTTTGTTTTTTAATTAGTTCAACGTTGCAGAAGGAACAATTTATAAGGTTTAATATTATATATGTAATTATGTTCAATATTTTAATATCTTAGAATCTTTGGTATTATATATGTGATTAGGATTTATATTTTGAAATATATTATTTAACGCAGGTATTTGGACTGTTTTTACCAAAATTTGTACGTTTATCTATACCTAGGTAATATATTCTGCAGGACTACCTAGAAACAACAAAACATGCCAGCACTGTAGGAGATTAATATACTAAAATATTAAAAAATGAGTGCAATTCCATAATCGAGCATAAATACTATTAACAGTAAAAAAACACTACAATACTACAACTATTTCCGATAAGAAAAATATGTTCAGTCAATAGACTAAATAAAATACGTTAAATAATATACGATAAACATGTTTGAAAATTGAAGTATTACTCATTGTTAATTACGCACAAACAACAGTATCTACTACTTTAAACCAGTAAGTTGATAATGAGCTTATTACGTCAAGTGAATTGAGTACGTTTCTTACAATCCATGGGAACGTGGAGTTATCTTTCAATAGGGTTTCCCCTTTTTTCTAGGCAAACGCTAATGTCTGTTGATATTGACTTATCCGGAGCATGATTTAATTTCCTTTCGCCATGCCCTATTATAGACATTGTTGCAGTGCCATGATTATGCACTTTTAGCACATCCTCTCACCCCTTTATTTTATAGCATTTCCCACACAAGTGGGCGACCTTGGAATAATTGGCTAAAATCCCAACAAAGTTCTGCCCTCCAGTGTGCATGTACTATGTAAATTTATATTTGTTTGGCAAGATCAAGTGCAGGGTAAAAATAGAACAACGGACCTGGCACCATGCCCTGTTTTCCCCTCCCTGGAAAAAGAAAACATTTGGCGCCCCAAATGACGTACAAAGAGTTAGATAAACAGCTATGAAAACTGCAATTACTAATAAGGCGCAGCGCATTTGGATGCCAAGATCCGTTTGGGCCAATTATACGTTCCATAAAGCTGACCAAAACTGAACAGCAACAACAATCGTTAAAAGATTTGAGCGTTGGCGAAAATCTTCGCATACATTTTACGAGATGGAACAAAAACAAATGTTTTTCCCTCGGCTGACTTACTTTTATTATGGCTTTGCTTTGCCACCCACCCGATCCTATTTCCCTCTCTCTCTCTACTCCTGGATGATTCTCCATCACTCTCTCTCTCTATCTCTCTTTCTTCTCGTGTAGCTCCCTCTCTTTCGTTTGGGCCTGTTTGCCTCTTTTGCTTGGTAATAAAGAAAAAATGCCAGCAATGCGCTGGAATTGGAACGCAGCTAAAGGCAGAAATATTATTATCCAGACTGGCCAGGGGCGCCGGTGAAAGGGGGGCAATGGCCGGCAAGGGATGGCTGGGAGATTGCTCGTTTCTAGCATGAATAATTAAAGCAAGCGAAATATTGATTGCATGTACTTGAAAAGAGTTCCAGACGACGACGTCCGACATTGTCGGGCCTATATGACAAACGACTGACACGCGGACTGAGCAGGCGACAAATATAAGCCACCCAACCACCCACTACCCCCCCGTCACAGGACTCACCCACTCTCCCCCCATGAGGCCTTTTGCCTGCCCATTGGTCAGAGGGTGGTCCCCGTCCTTTGGATTTCGAGTGGGGTAATAGAGTGAGTGTTGCATAAATTTGCACAGTGGGTGATAAGCAGGGTGGAGAGGGGTAAAGGGTATACAAAGGGGTTCAAAAGGGGCAAAGTTAAGGACTTAGGCCCAAAACTTACTTGGCATGTGCACGGCCTGTTGGGCTTTAACAACAGTCATATAGATAGATAGCCAAGATAAAAAGGTTAGGCGACGACTTTTACCCGACTTCCAGATGCAAATAGGAAAAGGGTAGCAGAGCAGGACTCTAGTATCAAAAATCCAATGAAACCCCATTAAAAATCAAAGAAATACACTTACTCGGTTTTTAGGTTTGAGGACCGTTTTCTTATCTTCGTGGTAAGCTAAATTTAAGTTTGAAAATAAAAAAAATTGCAAGCTCGTTCTGAGTTCAAAAACCTTTTTTTAGCTTATCAAGAAAACAAGCCCTAAATTTTTAAAAAAACCTAAAAATGAAATCTTAGTAACTATAAGATATTATCTACAAAAAAAAAAATATTTAAAATATTTAAAATTTAATTATCTATTCTAATATCTTTATACTCTTTTTAAAAACCTCTATAGAAATAATGATAATTGACATATATTTGTATATTAAATTATTTTAATGATTTTATTTTTTCAAATGTTTCTGATTCTTATTTTATTTTTTAGAAATATTTTTTTTAAGTACGCCGTTGCCCTTGTTTTAAATTCCTAGTGCTAGCCGTAGACTAGTTCTGTACTATATATCACATGACCATAAAATGTCTTCAGTTAGAATCATCGCTTTTATGACTCCCTGTCCAACTTACAGCCAATAAGGGTTCCAACCACCTCCCATTCCCCTTGGGCCAGGTGAAAGCCCATTGGATGGGCAATCGTCGAGGTTTCATTTGAAGGCCGGGGGACCAGTGTCTTTCTGCCGCGGAGCGGGGAATCTTGCGTGACTTCATTTGCATGAATTACGTTGCGTTTTTCGTGCCCTGTCGTTAGTGTCCTTTGGCTGCCCGCACTACCACACTCAAAGCGAGCCACCCAAGGCACCTGAAACACCAGAAATCACCTGAAATCACCACTACCACGGCCAGCACGTGCCGGTGTGGTTGGTTGGTGGTGCGGCTGAGTTTCGGGAGCTCCACCCGTTCCCTCATAATTGCCACCGCGATAGTCAGTCTCCTTTTTTCCTTGCCTTGGCGGGTTTTTCTTTTTTCCTCCACCTCTTTTACCTATTTTTTTGGTATGGAAAATAGCAAACGGGAGCGGTGGAAAAGCTGGGGGGAATGGAAAAAAGAAACTATAGCGCATAGACGAAATAGTCTGCGTTCTCTGCTTCGCTCAGTTCATTTTCTGTTTTCCGTTCCTGTTCTCTGTTTTCTGCCTCGAGTTCCGTCGTCAGTCGCTTTCGAGGAGCTTTGTGGGGCAGGTGTGTTCAGGTGGTTTTTTGCTCTCCAGGTTCCACCGGTTCCAGCTCCAGTTCCATTTTCGCATTTTGCATTTCGCATTTCCCAACTGTGTGTGCCTTAAACTGCTTTTTCACAACAACTCGAGCAACAACAGCGTAATTTTCCGTCGGTTTTTTTTGGGTTTTTCTCGATATTTTCCCACTACCCCACACTGCTTTTCGAGACGCGTATGCAACAACAACAAAAAAACAAAGAAAGGACAAAAAAACATTGGCGAGATTTTTGCTGCCTTAACCACAATTTATAAACACCGCCCCAACCCACGTCGAGAGTTTATGCAAATGCAGTTGTGTCGGTTGTCCACCCCGGAAAAACTTGTGTTCTTGATTTGCAAAAGTGATTTCTAATTGTTTCGACTTCTTGTTTTAACTTGCCACAAAAAAAAGGACGCGAAAGAGTGAGCGCGAAAGAGAAAAGGGAGGGAGACAGAGCATAGCGGAGTATGTCAATGTCAGTGGCCCAGTTTCCGCTGCATTGCTAAAAGGATTTCCCCTAACTCTTCGATTTCTGGCCATGGATATCACAAAAGTCTAGTTTAATGACGTCACTGCTGGAGATTATCATGCGATCGAAAGCGCTTGCAAGGAAATTCGATCAGGGTGAGTCCATCCTTTGAACTCAAGCATTCTTCAGTAAAAGGATTATAGGCCTAACAGCAAGCTAAAAAGGGAGCTCAGAGAATTAAATTAGTTGTTTATACCAAGTCCAAAACTAAATTTAATCAACGATAACCAACTGTTTTTAACACAATTTCTTGTTGAAGTGTCCCCTATGAGTAATTATATTTTCGTCAGAAGAACTTAAAAAAATTCACAATAATTATCCCGAGGAGACCCATTATGAAAAAACACAAATTTAAGAGAGAACAGTTATGCTTATTCATGTTTTCATTTACGTAGTTTTTATCTTATTTAATAACATAAATTCAATGAAAGTTAATTTATTAGGGTTTTTATTAAGCTCCCAAAAGAGAAGAGATCTCCCATAAATGAAATGTATATTGAATAATCATATCACGACACAACAAAATTCATATCATAGCCTTTTGGGGATCATAAAAATAAAATAATAATCTCTGGCCCACTAAAGAGAAGTAAGAAGTGCAGTTACTGCATTCCCCTGGGACCCAATCTTTAATAAAGCGGGAATTCCGACTCTGCTCGTGCCCTCTAATTAATCTCAAAATATATGCCCGACATCTGTTTCAATTAGGCAAGATTTGTTTTTTTTGCTTTTACTTACTCTTTTATTTCGTCTTGTTTCCTTTTGCACCCAGATAAAGCGATTTCTTATTTAATTTCCTTAAGTTGAAGTCAACAAAGTTTCAAAGACAGGAATTTTTTTAAAAATGAGACGGCAAATTTTGATATTATTATCATTCAACATTTGCATAACACTAGTCAGCCCAACTTCTAGATAAAACTGTTTTTCAGTTTTTAAGCGAACTGCAAAATATAATGCGTTGTATATTTAAGTGGTAATTTTTGTACTATGCTACTAAAAAACGTTATTGTGAAAAACAAAGTCTTAATGTCTAGTCGCATTCGTAGATTATTCAAATTGCAAATACTTAGAACGAATCATCCGATCTTTTCATGACGCTTTGCTGGAACACTTAATGCCGTCAAAAGTTGGCCGGATTTCCTAATGCAGTTTTCTATCGTAATTGTTTCATTGTATTAAAATAGAAGTGATTCAAACAACGCGCATATTCGTTGAAAGTTTCAATTCCCTGGGGATGAAAGCGTTTCTGATTTGAGCACATAATTATGCCAGGCGGAATTGATTTGACTTTTCTTGGGAATCAAGATATCGCGTAGCTTAAATGTTGAATGTACCAGAAAATATGATAAGAAGATAGACCAGCAGTACATCAGCAAAAATGAAAGTGGTGTTAGGCAACAAAAAGACGTGTTTATATTCCGATTAAATTCATACATGAGTAAGATTTTAAAAATAATTTAGTCGTAACTATTTAACACTATTTGTTAATGCTTTAATATGATAATTATATATCATTCACTTTTGCCCAATTAATTATGTTTTTTAAGTCCGTCTGCATTAAATTGCTTAGTAGATATTTTTTATTGTTAGCTTCCCCTCGAAATAACCACTTACCCCCTTCAAATCACTATCTAACACGAGTTTCTCTTCGACCACTTGCCAAAAACCCCCAAATAAAAAAATGCTAATCTATGAGCGATAGCCAGAAGTTCCTGGCAATCGTGACCATCATCATATCATTATCACGAACATCATCACTGTTTCCATCACGATCGGCTACTCAGTCAGTTTTTGTCGACTCTGGTCGATGGTAAAATCGTTATCGGCTCGAGTATCAGCATTTTTATGGCCTGAGAATCGATTGTATTAAGAGCTATTAAAATATTTTCTAAAACCTGCTATCATATCATTCAATTAGGCAAGAAACGGCTATATATAGGATCATAAAACATAACATTCGGTGTCGCCTGATAGTGGAAGACTCAAACACCAATCACTTGTACTGCGGGCTCTTTCTCAACACATTAAGGCGTCATAAATACATCAAAATAAAAGTGTCGGACTCGGAGAATTTACAGCTCGTGGGCAGATAATAGGAGGAGACTCCAATTGGGCGTCTTAAATTCGGGTGTAAACTTGGTCAGATCGCCGGTGGTAGATACAATTTGCAGTAGACAAAGTTTCCACCGATCGAAAGTTCTTTCGCGGAGCCAGAGATAAACGCCAGATAAGCATTGGGATCAAGATTATGCGGCTGGTGGTGGTGTACTGGGTTATCAGTGGGGCTGTGTTTATGGCCTGTGCTATTGGATACTCTATAAAGCAGTAATTTATGAAGTTCCATCAGCGCTACTTGACTTTTGCTTTCATCTTTTCACTGAGTGAGTTGCTAATGTCTCTCTACCTCGTTTGCATTAACCCATGTTTTGCCCAAAGGCAAAAGGAAATGCCTTAAAAAATGTGTGTATTAGGAGAAAGTATTAATTCGATTAAAATTTGTGTACAAAAGTATACAAAAGCATTATATTTGTTATATTACAAATATAATTAGATTTACTCCTAATGATGTTTCAATTATTTATGGAAAAGACATATTTTATTATTGATTAAGCAAATTTTCATGGTGCTTTAAATTTAATCGACATTCTACTAAGGAAATATGGGTTAAGCACACATGGAAATCGCTCTACAAAAAGAGAGAATCTATGTTTGTATTTCCTGATGATATCATCTATCAGAGCGCACGTCTCACTACGGTTTTATGGTGCACTTGTGCGTTCTATACATTTTTTTGGATTGCGTTGCTTCATCGCAGAAGAACGAAAAATATCATCGAGAGTGGGCAAGAGGGTTAAGGGGCCGGGGATACGGCGCATGCATCGCACCTGATATTTTTATGGATTTACAACACCCGAATTATTCTTCCAATTTCGACAATTTATTACCGAATACACACTTTTGACATTTATTTGCTCGTTTCAATTCCCTACGATTCGATTCGGTTTCGGACTCAGCCGAGTTCGATGGTTTACTGTCCGAAAGCAAAAGTGTTTTCTTGTCGCCTCGATTGCACACAAGCCAACCTTGTTGTCTAGATAGAAACGGGCAATGATAGCCCTGGGCAGACCCTGCGTATACGTTATATGGCGGAAGACAAGGGGTTTCAAGTAAGGCGTAGTTAAGTACTAAATTTGAAATAGCGGGTTATTGTCTTTAAATATATGTATTTATTCGCCAATGATTTGCAAAATAAAATTTTCATTGTCTTCATTAACTTAACGAAATCAAATTCCCAAAATGGCATTGGGTGTATTCCATAAATATTATAAATATTCCAACACCTCCTCTTATTTGCTATTCCCTTTATAGAGGGGTTTTTCCGATTACCCAGTTTATCTGAACGACCTAGTCACATTGTCTTTTGTTTACGACATAACGTCAAGGCTTCTGTTGCAGATAAATAGAACTGGACTGTGCCAAGAGATCGTTTATTTTGATGTCGAATTATACGGAAACAAAGTGGAGTATGGATGGGAATCGGACCCCCTATTTTACCGCGTATGTGGGTATGGTATATGAGCGGGCTTGGTTTTATCGGCGTAACTGTCAGTATCTTGTCACTGGTCTATTGTTTATGAGCGTGGACCTTCTCCCACAACTTTGTTTATGTTTTGGAATGGAATACCCGTCTGTGGTCACTGAAGATAGTTCCGATATGCGGGAGTACGTGATATTGTAGTATATAAATATGGGTTATTTTGTAAAAAGGGGGGATCATTAGTACATTATCTTCTCAAAAAAAGTACAGACGTATGGAAATTTACTGATATTTAAACCCCACTTTGACTTCATGAGGAGGAGCTGTGATTAATCCTACAAACCTTAAAGGTAAAATAAATAAATTATCTTTATACATTTTTTAATATATATATTAGCTGATACTCCGAAAACATATATTACTGATAAATTTAAATGAAAATGTGGACAAGATTATTCACTTTATATTTCATAAAATTGGTATAATATTTTCTTAGGACTATGATTTGTTACTTACTTTATTGTTTGTAGTACATTCCGTCAAAGTTCAATTAGGCTTAGATCATATTTATGCCATTGTTGTTAAATAATAATCAAGTTTATAAAGGCTTTGATAGACAGTTATAAAGATAGTGCCTATCGCTTCGATTTCCTTTCATTCATTCATATATCCGAAGTGGTTAAGTACTAACTATGACTATTCGCCCCCTTCCACTCCCATTTTTCTCGCAGTGCCGGGTCTATTTCGCTTTTTTCCTATTCCATAAATAATTTTCAAGTTATAGAATAGATAGTAAATTAGCTCCAGATATCAGTCGGGGGTGCATAGTACACATTTTCATCACACAGACTAGCTACTCGAGCGAGTATAATACTTTTCAAGCAAGTGTTCGGTTCGTTTTGTTAGATTCACGATCGCAAACGATCCTCCGGCACGAAGCTTATGAAGTGCTTATATCAGAAAGGTTCTGCTGCTTTTTGGAGGTCTCTTCTGAGACCCACTTGTCGTTATTCCTCTATTTTTAACGGGTTGTTACCAGCCACTCTCTTTCCCCGTTTCTCTCTGGAATTCTCCGATGTGTTTGCTAAGCGCCAACATTTGAGAAAGGCAATCAATTGTCGAGCGGCCAGCTTCGGACTTAGTTTGTGATAATTTAAGGCTGGTCCGCGGTGTGCGAGATTGCGAAGCGTCGGCAAAATGGAAAATGACAGCCCTCGAGTTCGTCTAAAAAATGAAAAGAAACTGCAGAATCCCAAATAAATAAACCTAGATAAAGTGCGTGTCAATTGGTGATATTCTCACGCTAATTAAAAAGTGTAGTGCAAAAATTTTAATTGAAAAACCCCGGCGAAAAATCCAAGAAAATCCCGAAGAAAACCCCTTAGAAAAGGGTTACATGTGAGTGACATTTTCCAATTAATTGTGCATCTTTTGAGGTCACCAAGCAGTGTGTCTGATCTATGTGGAAAACCACCCTGCAATTGAAGATCCTGGCAGATGTGATATTTGTGGAAAGTGTGCCAAGACAGGAAGCAGAAGGTATCTGCTCCTTCTGCT